ATGCTCACCAGAAAGAGAGAGACAGAGAGACAGAAAGCGAGAAATCACCCCCTGGGGGGGATGGCCACGCCGCAATCCCTTCTCCTCCATTATCCTCCTCTTGGGATCTTGGGCACGCATGCACATGCTCCCTGCATGAGTTTAAGCCACTGAGTCCAGTACTTGAATCATGGTTGACTACATGGGAGTCCAGCGTCACAGCCATTACACAAACTGCTGGTCCCACTTTTTTGTTAATTTTAAAATCTGAGCTTTTGGTTATCTTCTCAATGAGATACCTTTCACCTCATGCAATTTCTTTTTTTAATCATTAATTTATTATTATTATTATTATTATTATTATTATTAAGTTTGACCAGAGAGAGAAAGAGGGAGAGAAAGAATTAGAAGGAAAGTGAGAAAGAAAGTAAGCCTCCAGGTCCAGGACTTGAACCATGGTAAGCTATGTGGGAGTCCAGTGCCTTACCCACCATGCCACCTACCAGCCCCCACCTGATGCAATTTCATTCTTTGGCTTAAAGAAGAACTGCTCCTCTGTCATGGCAGTGCTTTAAATATATACAATTTTTTTGATGCTCTCTATACTAATGTAGTAGGAACCAATATTCTCACTTGTGAAATGCTAACCAAATTCTATTTAGTTCAGAATACCTATTAATGTTGTACTAAATTACAGTCCCTTTATCAGTACAGAATTATTTATAAAGAAAATCTAGCTGAGTTTTCTTTGACACAGATCTGCAGTATGATACAGCACAGTTATGATTATCATATACCTACAAAATTCTTTGTATTTATTTATTTGTTTTTAAAATTTTGCAATAGGGTGTGTGCGCTTGCTGGAGAGAGACAGAGAGAGAGGGAAAGTGAGAAATCATCCCAAGGGGAGATGGTCACACTTTAGTCTCCTGTCTTCCATTTTCCTCTTGTGATTTTGGGCATACACGCACATTGCCTTGTGCGATTTTCAGGCCACCAGACTCGGGACTGTGCAGTGGAATGTTCAGGACCTAGCTGCCATAACCACCATGTCATTGGCTGGCTTTCAGTATTTCTTTAAACAATTTGTGTTACCTAATAATGGATAGAGTTTAATATAATTAAGATGTATATATTAAGATAACATCGAGCTGGCAGGTGGCATGCTGGTTAAGGGTGCTGGACTCTCACGTGGCTGACAGCGGTTCAAGTCCCAGACCTCGTGGCTTGCTTTCTCACTTTCCCTCACTCTCTCTCTCTCACTCTGTCCCTCACTGGGCAAATTTAAATAAACAAACAAATAAAGTTCAACAAATTAAAAAAGATAACATTAAAGCTTTAAGCTTCCCTGATATTTTCCCAATTTGGGAAATCTCAGTCACAATGAAAGTGAACCACTTCAGCTACAGTGGCACACCTCTTGGTTGATGCTACTACTGAGGCTGAGACTATCCGGGAGGCGCAGGTCGATTCCTAGGGCACTCTGAAAATCTAGGCACCTGTATTTCCACCTACTAGGGAGGCTGAAGCAGGAGGATTGCAACAGATGAGACTCTGTCTGAATAAAGTCATTTATTAATATAAGCCTTCCAATTAACTTTCGATTTTTTGACAATCTGTGCATTAAGTAAGGTATTCTAAAATCTCTTCCAATGGAATTAAGACACTAAGTATAATAGATGTAGCATATACTTTAAGATAGGACTGTAATCTGTGTAGCTTTGAGAAGATAACTTCTCTGAAAAAAGTTTCTTCATCTGTGAAAAATTATAGTAAAAATTAGCTTTGTATGGTTAGTTTGAGATTAAGTAAAAATGACCAAAGTCTGGGGTGCTTTTTTAAAAAATAATTATTTTATTTAAGTTTATTCATTTATTTATTTTAATTTGACCAGAGAGAGACAGAGTGAGTTAGGGGAGTGAAAAGGCAAGCCTCCAGGTCCGGGACTCTAACTGCAGTTGACCATGTGGGAGTTCATCACCCTTTACCATGCCACCCGTTGGCCCAGTCTGGGTTTTTATAATATACATGTTTCATTTTTTTAAGTTCCATTCTTAGGTCTACATAAGTCTTATTTTTTTCTTGCCAAAAGTGATATTATGATCTATTTGTTAATTTCCTCTTCTTTCATGTTTTTATATATACTATTTTGAAATGAATTCTCATAGGTGACACCTGGAGGTGGAATGTTTACTATGAATAACCCATGTAGTAAAGGTACTGAAATAGGAAAAGATGCCGGCAGTGAACATGAGTTGCCGGGCATCTGAGTGTTCAAGCTAACTGAGCACTCATAGCTCTTGGGTGAGTACGTTAACCTCCCCTTAAAAGTTTGAGGCAAGCCCATAGCAATGTAGTTAACTATTCATGCATTAAAATCATTAGGGTCAAACTCAGGTTTTAGAAAGAAGAGAGTGTTTAAAGAAGATTGAGTTAGTAGTTATTTCAGCTTGTAATCCATGTTTCTCTACTAAAACCATCTCATCTTGGAAAAAAAATTGAAAGGAAAAAAAAATAAAAGAAACTATGACTCAAAATAATTCACGAGAATGCAAGAAAATAAGTAAAGTTTTTTCCATATGTCATGAAGGTTGAAATATATATCACAAATAAATAATGTGTAATATTTTATAACTAAAATAATGAACATATTTCCTTTCCCATTTTTATTTATTATATTTTACACTCTTAGATTTTTCTTAAATATAGGCACAAATATTTTAATTGCAATTTTATAAAATTAGTCATACAATTTTATGCATTTAAATAAAATATTTTCAATAATAGACTGCATGTGCTAGTGAATTAACCTTTCTGAGGAATATTTTAAATGTAGATTACTAATTCAAGTTCTAACAGTTTCAAATATTATCGTCAACTCTTGCACCTAATATATAGCATGACCCGTACGTATGTGTTTTCAGTGAAGGATTTAACTATGACTTGTTTTGGGGAAGAGAAATCGTTTATTTTTCAAAATATCTATGTTTTAAGCCTTTGAAGAGATACAGACTTGTTTTCTTAAAGTCAGGTTGTTACTGTATCACTCATGTTTGTTTTTCTCTTCTTTTCCTTCTCTTTCTGCTTCCTTGGATGCTTTCCCGAAGGAGGACAAAGTGGTTAGATCCATGCTTTCTTTTCTATCATTTATTATGTTGTGAACTTAATTAAGTAAATGTTGCACCTAGTGTTTTTAATCACTATGCTTAACAAAGAAGTTATATGCTGAGAAGAGTGCATTCCTGGTTCTCATGGAAAAAAAAATAAGATGAACATGCAGGGGCATTGCAAACTTTTTTATTAATAAGTAAAACATGGCTGATTTGAGTTTATGATGACAGTGAGATCTTAACATACTCTAGGTAGTTATGAGCTAATTTGTCTTCTTGGTTCTTCAGGCTTTGACAATTATTCAACCTGTCTTCAGGAACAATAAACTCTAATGCGTTTTACCTTTCTCAACACTCAGTAGATGTATAGGTGGTTGATTTGAAACTTTATTGCAGAAAGAATGGGATGTGGTAACAACAGAGAGAATGGATCAAATTCAAATGTGGAGCTTGAAATGGAATTATTTTTCTGTGAACACAAGTAGCAGAGTTGTTATATTGAAACACATTTTGCTCTTCTCTTCTCCCTCTTTCCAGAAATCACTCTTTTGGGGAGTGAAAGGTCACTATTTAATTTAATTAATTAATTTTTAATTAATTAATTAATTAATTTTTTGAGAGAGATTTTTGCTTGCTGGAGAAACAGAGAGAGAGAGAGAGAGAGACCAGAAACATTAAGCAAGAGATCACCCCCAGGGGTGATGGCCATACTGCACTTCCTTCTCCTCCATTCTCCTCTTGGGATTTTGCACACTCAGGCACGCACACCCGGCCTGAGTTTTAAGCTGCTGGCTCTGGAACGCAAACCATGGTCGACTATGTGAGACCATTACAGCATCCTCTATTTCCCAAAGATGAATTTCAGCTCTTACCAACTGCAGAAACCACAGAGGCTGTTTGTACTTGGGAAGATAGGATCCAAGTGGAACCTTCACAGCCTCTCGTTTGTATCCACACTGTACACCTTGATTTGGTGTAAATTTCTCACAGCTCATTAGTATCCTAGTAGGAGACTGAAGCAATGAATATTTTAGATTCGATATTTCAACCCTACTGCTTTTGTTCAAAATTTTTAAAGCTTAAATAATATAATGCAGTGCATAAGTAGCCAGTGTGACATTAAACTGAATATTAATTTGTGTTTTTAAACTTGATGCTATATGCACATTGATATTTTCTATGAAAAAAATCAGGTTGAAAAATTATGAAAGGTACGCTTTTTTCACTAAATATTTTCCTCTACCATTGGTGGTATGCGGGCTCATTTTAGGGGATGTTATTTTAATGTACCATGTACTGTATTAGAAAAATATATGACTAGAATATTCCACCTGTGGCTTCATCAGTACTTCTTTTGATGAATCTACATTTAAAATGTAGATAATCTTAAATTTCTTTAAAGAACAAAAGCGTAAGTAAATAATAATGATGGCATCATGTAGATTGGTGGTAAGATTTCAGCTACCTCTGTAGGGCTGGCCTTTGACAACACTTCTGCTTATTATAATTACTGTGTAACGAGAACCAGGTGAGTTTTGTGTTTCAGACTGAAAGTAGGGTCGGAAGGCCTGTGAAAAATGCAGTCACTCTCAGTTATTTTCTACGCTTTGATTAGAATGCAAAAGACTGCCACATAAATTTTTCAATACATGATCAAACATTTTTAAGACTCTTTTTAACCTATTAAAGTAGCTCATTCAATTACCTTTTGGTCCCAGGAAATTGAAACCATATTTTTGTCTTGTTTATACTAAAGAGAATAACTGAGTATTAAAGAAAAAAACTTGATTTCTAGTACTTTCCCTATTCCTTTGAATTCTTAGTTTTTGTAGACAAATTATAGTTTGTGTGTGTGTGTGTGTGTGTGTGTGTGTGTTGGTGTGCATGAAAAATGCAGTGAGATAAAGGTGAATAAAACTTTTCTGAAAGAAATTTTCATCTTGATAAATGTAATAATGAATTCTACTTGGTTTGTAAACTAGTGAAAGACATGTGATTTCTATACTAGAGTATCTAATATGAATACCTAACGATGGCTAGTGTATACATATTTCCTTTATTAAGTCCAACTAAAAATATTATCATTTTTTTCAGCCCAGCAATATTTTATTTTAAGATTTCACTCTTAGTTTCAATCATATAAGAATTTGGACAATTGTGTACTTGCTCATAAGAAATGTCCTAACAAATGTAGTGATAGTTTATAACTGGAAATTATTTTGTACAAATGCATACTGTCCTTGGTAAAATTAGAATTTTTTTTTTAACTTCATTGAAAGCCTTTTCTAAGCCTAAATATATAGGAATACTGTCAAATTCCCCATAGCCTGTTTAAATTGCTTTTATCTGTTTTACTCGCTATTTGGCAGCAGAGGATTGAATTTAGATAACTCCCTAGATAACTTTAACACTTCGCTAGTTCTAAGCCCACTGAATTGAATCCTTCAAATTAAATTTCTTCAGAATTTCCTGTAAATTTTCATCAGTTTTGTTGTTGTTGTTGTTGTTTTTGGTTTTGGTGGTGAAAATAGTTTTATGAATATAACAACTAAAAATGAACTTGAGTCCTAGTTTATCTATGTTTTCACAATAAAGTGTCAAGTTTGTAAGTTAAGAATATTTTATAATAAATGCTAGAACTCTAACATTTTCTTATTCTTTCAAAATATGAAAACCTCATATATATACCTTTAAATAGCACATAAAAATACTTTTTATAGCAAAATAATAATTAATGAGACACTATGTTTACAGAGTCACAACTTTTTAAACTGATTTTTCATAATTTTTTTTGATGTTTGCTTTTTGGAAATCATACTAAATGATATGTTGATGAAATAAATGTATTTTTGTAGGAAAAATCTTTTAAAAGGTTAGGGTTGGGTGAGTTGGGACAGTGCTAACTAATTTAAGATTGGCCTTATCATAAAGTATTATCGATGGGGTGATTGATTTAAAAAAAAAAAACAGCTTGTACAGTTTTATTTACCTTATTTCTAATAATAGAGGGAAGAAAAATAGCAGGAATATTGTCCATAATGTTAACAATGATAGGATAAAAACAAAACTCCTAACTCATTGGTTAGACAGGGGATGGATAAAACTTTGCTTTGTTTTGTTTTGTTTTGTTTCTTCCTTTTTTTGGTGTGTTTCTTATATATTTTACTTCTTTTTTTTTTTTTTCTCCTCTTGATTTCCTTCTTGAAAATAGCATATGAAGCTTCTCCTCAAAGATTGCTCTTAAATACCAAAGTAATGGTTTGGGTTTTTTTCTCTCACTAGGATTATAGATAAGCAAATCAGCAGAATCATAATAATTTAAAACATGATTTACATGATTGTATTAAATACTTGTTCTTATTATGAAAAATCTCACAGTTATTCACATTTAGTCTGTGGCAGGACAGAACTTATGATCATAATTTAGAACCTTCAATTTTTCAAGAAATGTATAAAGGTTTGCCTGGACACACTTTCATATTTCGTTTTTCTCTCTTTTTTTAAGAATTTTTTTTTATTATTATTATCTTCTTATTTTATTAGAGTGAGAGACAGAAAGGCAAAGTGAGAAAGCAAGCTGCCAGGTCCAGAACTCGAACCCTGGCTGAACACGTGGGAATCCAGCTCGTCAACCACCGTACCACCTGCTAGCCCCCATACTTTGTTCTTTTAATTGGTTTAATAGATTTCTCTGACAGAAGTTTCTATAGAAGTTCTTACTAAAAATATAAGATAGCCTATAGAGAAAGATTTATAAACATGGATAAATATGACAATAAGTAAATGTTAGGTTGCATTAAAAAGAGAACTTTCCTCCAGCAATTTGATTAGATTTCTCAAAGTGTCTTGATTGGTTTTGTTGTGTTTATTCTAGAGAGAAATAAAACAAGTTGCAAAACTTTTTATGGAAAATAATTCAGAAAGCTGTGGTCTTTTCATGACAAATCTATTTTCCTAATTTGCTACACTATTTTTTAGGAAATATTAATCTCTTACATTTGTATTATTTTTCTGAAAATGTTTGCAAATATTCAATAATCATTAGGAAGTTTAAAGTCCTGGTTAGTCTTGCTTTTATTCTCTCTGCCTCAAATAATTTTTTTAAGAATTATTTTATTATCATTATTATTTTTAATTTGACTCAAAAGAGACAGAGAGAGAAAGGGAAAGTGAGAAAGCAAGTCACCAGATCGAGGACTCAAAGCACAGATGGCCACATGGGAGTCCAGCGCTTTAACTGCCACACCGCCTGCCGACCCCTCAAATCAATCAATTGTTTTTTAAAGTTTGTGTGTGTGGTGTGTGTGTGTGGAGGGGGGTACAATACGGTTTTTGACAGTATGCATACATGATGTGACTTTAAAATCACAGATACAGACATCTTCTTCAACACTGAATGTTAGATTAAGTTGTGTACATTCGATAGCAGTCCTGCTAGTATTTTTATTCGTGTGGGGGAATGGTGGCTAAATATTGAGTATTCGGTGACATTTTTACTTCACTCTGGTACACCAGTTTAAAACCCATTCCTTTTGTTTGCATGCATTCTTGTATAGTTATAAAATATGTTTCAGAAGATTATAATTTCACAAATTAATCATAATTAGTCCTGCCATGCATCATTATTAAATAAGGATTTAGGGAACTACATAAGGGGTAGAACACTAGCCCTTTCTAGTATAAGAAAAGGACTGTAGTGGGAACAGCTTTCACAAAGCTAAAGACCGAACTGGGCGAACTTCCTGACTTTTTGTGGACATAAATGCTCAGATATCTTGTGTATACACCTAGGAGCGGAATTTTGGGGTCAAATAAGAACTGTTTGATATCTGGAGGACCTGCCAAACTTTTACTGTTTAGATGCACAGCAGTGAATGAAGGTTCCAAATTTTCCGTGTTTTTGTCAATACTTGTTATTGTCTATCTTTTTTTTTCTTTTTATTTATTCTTTCATTTATTTATTTCAGTTTGACCAGAGAGGGATAGAGAGAGGAGAGAGGGAGAGGAGG